GTTCTGTAAGTTTAGTTTTTCCCTACTTATTATGTGCGTGTGTGTGTGTTAAAATTCGATGATGTGTAAAACCAGAATGACGTGTTAATATATAATTGGGGGAGTATTCGTGGAGACGCGCAATTGGGAAGAGCTGAGCTGGAGGCTTAACAAACCTGTACTAATTTAAGACTCAGAACTCACACACATCGCTACCGTCGATCTTTTTCGATCGGAATTTTCTACAATTTCCGCGACAGGCCATGGATTACGATCCAGACTTTGATGATCACGCGCCTCCGTCATTTGATAGAATGGTACTTTCCTTTAGTTTCACGGATACCTAATCAATTATATCTTTTCAGATTCTGTAGTTAAATTTGATAGATCTGTAATAGTTTGAGTATCTGGATTTTGGCTGATTTTTATATGGCTTGATATTTTATGAATTTAATCCGTTGAATATACTGTTTGATATGCATTCTCAGTGGATGCCGAAATTAATGGAAAATTGGGGGATAATTATTATTTTTTTTCTCCCTTCTATGTCGCTTTTAGATGCTGAAGATGTGGAGAATGTGATAGAAAGAAAGAATATAGATGTATTTCTTCTTGATGAGTTGAATGATTTTTGGAAAAAAAATTCTGGACTAGGTTTTGCATTGGCTCCGTTTGAACTTGCTTTTTGTAGCTGACAGAGATTTGAAGATTTAGCGTGTAAGCTTGTTAGTAGTCAACCATGCTAATCTTGGGCAACAACTACGTTCTCTCAAAACTCAATGACTGTTATCGAATATATAAGAACCAAGTTAGAATCATCAGTGGTTTTAAATGTCACGACGAAAGGAATAGAGCTGTGAAAGAATTTTACTAGATGTACATTTTTTAGATGGTTGTTGAAATTCAACATTTCAACTTTTGCCCCTTTTGGTTGAGTTTATTTTCAGTTTTTTGTTGTGAGGGTTAGTTTTAAGATTATTGAAAATGTGTTCAATTTGTCATTCTGAAAAACTGTTTCTCGAAACAAAAAATTGAAAAACACGTTTGATTTGAAAATTTNAAAACACGTTTGATTTGAAAATTTATTTTATGATATTTTATATAATTAATTTGATTATTCTGTAAAATAGGACAATTATATAGTAATATATTATCAAGTAATATATACATTTTAAAATAGGTGAATCTTACAATTTTTTTCTTGTTACAAAAGTAAAATACAAATAAAAAATAAATTGAGTTGACAAAACATGGAGAAAAAAAAAATTAATGTGGTAAACCGAATTTTTTTTTTTATCTATTTTCATTTAAACAATTTTTTAGAATTTTAATTAAATGACCAATAAGAGTTTTTTATTTTTTTATTTTTTTTTAAATTTATTTTTTAGAATGATAACGAATGAAATTCTGAGGCAAAATCTTTTCAACTTCACGTGTTTCCCACTTCTTGTTTTGGGTAATGTTTCCTTTTCACTTGGGTTGTGTTCTAGAGACTGTCCTTCATTGAGTTAAATCACATTCCTTACTAACATATGAGTATGGGATCCTCTTGAATGGCTTTTGATCTGCTGGAAATGTTAAGGGTGATGAAATGGATTTAGGAGAAATTGTAAATTATTAAGTTGGACATTTTGAAACCTTCCTGATTACAAGGGAAAACATGGTGGGCCACTAACTTGAAACAGCACGCAAATGGTGTTAATTGCTTCCAAATCCTAATGCATATTACGGATAAATTTTCTTATTTCTCATGTTTCAAACATACGTGTTGTATATGCAATGACTGGGTGACAAGAAAACTAATTCAACATGATACCAAATCATAAAGTAATCACTACAAGGAGCACACAATGCAGTTTTGAACCTGTAAGTAGAATACAATTCTTTTAAATTACAGAAAAAAAATCCCTTGTGGAAGCAGGCAAGAATTATTGTAGACACAAAGAAATGCACCATAGGTTTATCCTTCTTCCGTGCTTTATAGTGATTCCTGACTTCTACATATGCTACCCCATATCGGGCTTGCACATGCTGTGCTGCAGCCTCTTCACGTAAGTTTGTTCCTCTCCTTTGAGGGGACAGCGTGGAGCTGAAAATTTCTTCTCTGTAACGTGGATCAATATTGAACTATGACAAAACAAACCATGATTCCATATTCTAACTGACTGGTGTCTTTCAACTTGTATTATTGTATCTATTTTGTTCGAAAGCCTGCATGTGTAGATGTTATTACTGCTTCATTTCACAGTTCACTGATCAATGTATTTAACGGATAATCAAGTTTCATACAGTTATTAGTCATTATGTCACTCTTTCTAGATAAGGGCATTGGAACATACTTTTGTAATGGAATCATGTGGAAATTTTTATACTTGAGCTAATATGATATTAGCAGATATGGGGTGCTTTTGTAAAATGGAATTCAGATTGGGTGATATTATTGCCTTTCTGCATTTTCTGCATGTCTTCTTTTGTTTTATGGTTGTGGTTTCTCATTGCTTTATTGTCTTCTTCTATTTCGTACCCTGGTATCTGTGGAATTAATACTAATTTAAATTTGGCATCTGATGGATCAACAGAAAAATGTGGCCCAGGATGTTGAAGCCAGGGGGTTCAACCCAGGATTGATCGTCTTACTTCTTGTTGGTGGGCTGCTTTTGCTATTCCTTGTTGGTAACTATGCACTCTACATTTATGCACAGAAAACCCTTCCTACAAAGAAAAAGAAGCCCGTCTCCAAGAAGAAGTTGAAGAAGGAAAGACTGAAGCAAGGTGTTTCAGCACCAGGAGAATAGACATTCTAGACACGCGGGAGTTATTCCCCATCTTGAATTCAGCTGCTATTTTTGATATTTCCCCGTGTTGGGGATCATTGCACTGTTTTCTTATACCGTTGCCTTTTTCTCCAGGCAACTTAGAACTATACTTGATAATTAGAAACCTGGTTATTTTGCTAGTTGACTGGAAGAAAGAAGTCTATTTGTTTTGATACATGTTACAGGATTCTTATTTTTTATTTTTCTTCCCCAGGCTGAGCTATCTACCGAGTTTTGGTTAAATTCAAGTTATTATTGTGTATTTGTGATACATAGTTCCTCTTGAATGCTTCTTTTGTGTCCTGATTGTAGCTGTTGCCTACACTAACACCTGAGTAATCACTGTAGAATGAAACACTGCGTTTGAAGAATACTTTGTGATATTGTTACCTTAAACAACAGTCTGATGGTTAATACTAAATATCGGTTCCTTGGTAATATCTGTATCTAGTCTAGAACCTAGAATTTTTTTGATGGGGGCTTTAGAATTTTCATTGATTTCTGCCTGTAACGACCAATGAATTTGCTCACATCCAGCGAGATGCAGACTTTCTAGGCCTGTAAAAGATGCGTAGCAGATCTAGGAGGCGATCGGTGTGTGCAATACTAAATAAAACTAGATGATACAATTAACTTCGTTTTCTCTATAAGCCCCTGTTTGGTTCACATTAAAATTTTCATTCTCATTTTTCTAATTATTTTCAACCACACATTCTTCAATTAAGGCACTAGATTCGCCATGCAATGCAATCTTATCACATCGTCCAGGCAAGTCTTAAAATACTGAAGTACATTTTCCTTTCTCCTAGAGTAATCCTCGATATTACTTATATGATTTAAACAAAGACATAACAATATCACCATTCGCGCGACCGACCTGTTTTTGACAAAGTGAAGACTTTCAAGCTTAATTTTTACATAATGTAGTTGAACAAAAGTTCTGATTACAAGTATCCAAATTATAGAAATATCCCAAGTTGCACGTGCTAAGGCAGATACTTAGGCCCCACGACCCATGGTCTGTAGGCCTGGTGGAATTGTAACCAATATTGGTTGGGCATTGAACCCAGGATGAGGAAGCCTACGACGAACCTCACGACCTTCTTGACAAAGAGCGCATGCATGGCAGAAGACATGAGTTGCAAAATCACAGGCTGATTCGCACTGCTCACGTTGTATTTCATCTTCCACAAGGCTTCCGCAGCATCCACAGAATCTGACCAGAGCCTCGCAGCTTCCCTGTTAATGACAATCAAACCTTAAAGACAGATTTTATATTCTCTCATAAGGTTCCGCCATGGAATAGCGCAACAAACTTCTACTAGTGGAAGAAAGTTTGAAATAATAAAATCTAAAAGTCGTCCATTGACCAAGGAGACAATCATTACAACTCAAGATCATCCAGGTTCAGGAGCAGATTTTAATCGAAGTTCAAACATGGTCCCAACAATACGGTAAAACGTGTCAAGAGAGTTTTACAACAAATGAATGAGCAAACCACCACTTGTTCCCTGGGGTCGTTTTCTTTTGTCTCTCTTTTCATAAAAGAGAAGGAAAAAGGAGAAGGCAATGATACAGGAAGTGTTACCTCTCTTGAGAAGGCAATCACAAATTTTAAGTTCCTATTTTATCAACATAAAAAGGGAAAATTAAGGTGAGGCTCCCCAACTTTTCCTCTAGCGTGGTTCCAACTCCTCAACCTTTAAAACTCAGGTCCCTTATCTATTTAAATCTGTGAATCTGGGCACCACACTTCACTAAAATTGTTAGAATGGAGGTAAAAGGTTAAAATGTCTTTAAAATGACTATTTTGCACTTACTTTGAAATAATATTAAAGGAATAAAAAATAGAAAAAAGATCTGTTAAACAAGAAAAAAAAAATTAAATAAAAATCAACCATCTTCCCCATCAACCCCACCCCACCTCGATTACTGCCACCACCTCTCATTCCAGACGCTATATAATGCTACCACCGACTGAAAACACCTCAAATCGCAACAACCAGCTGAAAACACTCCAAATTGCAAACCCCGTCTGAATACAACCCAAAGCTATTCCAACTCCAACTTTGGTCATTTTTTATAACTTTTAAAGTATTCGCATAAATTTTTGTGTTAGAAAAGCACTAAAATTGAAATTTGATTCATTTTTCTTATTATCTTCGTTATTATGAGTCTGGTAAAAAGATGCTTTTTTTGAGATTTGTTATTGCAATAGTGAATTTTATTTACTTGGGTGAAATTATCAAAATGCAGAGATATAGAAAAAGATCGAGAAAACAGAAAAAAAGGTGCAGGATTCAGACTCGGAGGAATCCATACATGGTACAAGGCATAGAAATGTATATAGCAAAAATCAGAGCCTTAGAATGGGGAGGCGGTAGTGGTGCCAAGGTGGTGGGGTGGGGAAGATAGGGCAGAAAGTAATTTTCTTCCCTTTTCTTTCTTTATTCTTTGTTTGACAATCTTTTTTCCTTTTAATATTTAATTCATAGTAAGGGCATAATGGCCATTTTAAGGAAAATTTGTCTTTTTATGTCCACATTGATGGTTTTTGTCACATTGGGTGCCGAATTCACATGGATAAATAGGTTAAGGACCAGGAACCTCAATTTTAAAGGATGGGAAGCTAAAACCACACGAAGTGAACGGTTAGGGAGTGTACCCCTAATTTGCCCATATTAAAATACAGAGAAGTTACGAATAGCAAGCAAAAAATGAAATGCCATCAATGTGGAAGACTGGAATATATATAAAATCATGGTTTGAACTCTCAGTGACAGATTGTGATATAAACTTAATTAAGTCAGTAAAAATAATTTATAGAAACTTAGAAGAATAGAGTGCAAATAACATTCTTAGAACTCAAGTATATTGGAAATGATATTCGTAACTACAACCAAACAGAAAAAAATGATTCGTATGACAGCTATCATTTGTCATTGATATCACACCAATATCAGTTTCTCGCCGTCCTATGATATAAATACATGGAAATGTAATGGAAATAATTCCTATTACGCATATGCACAAAGCACGATTTTTCAGTTTTTAGCATTAGTTCAGAAGCAAAGCAGCATAATCATGATAATCACAGAGAAATAACTACTAGTTTACTAGGATTGAGTGTCAAGAAAATTCAAGAAGATAACACACCTCTAAGTTAAACTTCCGTCGTATGGCTGTGCGGGCGGGATATGAAAACCAAGGCGCCAGGCAGTTCCAGCCAAAAAAGGAATTTCCAATCAAGTAAAGACCGGTGTAAGGCAAGCAGTGATTGGTAAAAGTACCGGGAGCTGATCCAAGTCTCTCAGCGTTGCTTCCATGGAGCACACATGGAGCCACGCTTCCTAGCAAACCTGCTCAGTATCAAATTGTAATGAGTTAGAGAAAATACAGACCGTGGAAGCATATCAATAGCTGCAACGAAAGAAACAGACCAATTAACAATTGAAATTCTGAACAGTCAAAGGAAATCCTCTTGAAGAACATGAATACAAGAGCAATTGAAATTTTCAAAACTAAATCCGTGGAATGAAGGGAAGATTCGGAGTATGCTGCAATCATAGGACACTTCAAGAATCTTAGTACATGTTGGATAAGAGGATATTATTAAGGAATTAAAAAAAGCTAAAATCTTGGTCATTTACAGTGTCCAATCCTTTCCAGTTCTAGTACTTTGTACCAAACATGCACACTTAACCTCAAAATCTCAATATTTCCCAGGCTAAATTATTCTCTACTATTCATGTATACCAATATGACTAAACTTTTGCAAATTTTAGATCACATAATTAAAATAAAAAAATTGAGCCTAAACCCTCCAAACCAGATCCAATTCCCCCAATTCTAAAAAGGCCCAATAAATCAAAATCAAATCTATAACCCTAATAAAATCTCTTTTCCTCAAAACTAAAAAGAAGAAAACTTACAAACTTCAAGATCGCTGCTGCAGAATTCATCATTCCTTCCAAGGCAAGAGAAGAGGCCGGAATCCCACTGGCCCCTTTGCGCCATGGGTGTACCTAACAAGCTCATAGGCACCCCATCAGCAGTCCAGCCCATTGGCACCGCCGGTGTCGATTGCTTCATCGCCTCCGCAGGCGGAGGAGCTGCACCGTGTTTGGCCGTGGTGTTGGATCCCTTTTCATCCTTCGTTTGTTGTTCTTGATTTTGATTCGTCAAAAGGGGGTTAGAATACTCAGAATTCGCCATCACTACATGGACAATTAACA